AACTTAAATATAATCGATTACCGCAAAATAACGCTTATTTCTGTTAATTTTTAAAAAATAATTTTAATGAAAAAAAAATTATTTGCAAATTGTATGTGGTTTTATTTCCTCTAACTCACACGAGTATCGGTAATGCGGGGTCTTTGACAATCCTCTTACTCCTCGGCCAATGCAGAGATAATAAAACCACATACAATTTGCAAATTAATTTTTTTTTCATGAAAATAATTTTTTTTAAATGTGTTTTTTTTTTTAAATATTTCTGTATGCTTGGATACTGATTCTGATGACGCAGTTAACGGGAACCATAGGGTTTTTGTTACATGTTGTATAGATTTAAAAGGCCAACCAGAAAATTTCTGCTCCTGATAGATTTTAGCCGAGTCAATCGTCTCCAAATATTACGAAAATTATTATTGGCATCTGATATACCGTGTCACAAGATCACACAGAAATTGTACGTAACTTTTGTAAAGTTTGAGCCGTGCTAGTCTAGCTGGTACTAATAAGTTTATTATTTGCATTTAAAAGCTGATATACCTAGAACTCTACAATAAAGGATACTTGTAGGCAGGTCAAAAGCTACATCAGATATATTTTCCTTTTCTTCTGTTTTACTGTTTAACTGCTGGAGATTAGCATCTCCTAGTGGAAGGACAAAGGACAAATAACAATTTTGCAGGAAATCGGCGAGAGCACTACCAGATGTTTCGAACCTTTGAAGCAGCTCCACGTTTCCAGTTCGGATATTTTACGTTTTGCGAGATGATTAGGTATACTGCCATTTCCTAGTAGTCATCAGAATATTTCTGGCATTTTCCACAATCGCTTGTTGCAGCACCCAATGAACTGATCAATGGATACACGTACAATGCCATCGGACGGCACCAAAATAATAACATTTTTCCCTAAGTGCAGCTATGCTTGCATTACCAAACGAACTATAGGTACTTTTGTACTATCAATGCCTCAACCCGATGCTCGCCAAAGCAGTTTATTCTGTGACCAAAGTGCTGATCCGGTGTGGTTAGTATGGACAAAGCTCTCAAGTAATACGTCATTACCTTTATCTATAAGGGTTTGAAATGCGTTTTATCAGCCAAAAGTACACAAAATAAGCATATTTTCATAGAGGTAAGCAAAGTGCAGTAGCAGAATATCTTTGACGTCTTATTGTTATATGACGTCATCGTGGGGTAGAAACGTTAACAAATCCATCACCACATCTGGACTTTTTGATCTAAATGCCTTTGATACATAGCCGTCTCGTATATTATGTCCGTAATAAAAACACCTTATAGCAGCACAAGGGAGCAACCTCAGTAAAGTAAGGTAAAAAAAGTTTACTGCGATCACGGATCTTGCTTCCAAAGCCAGAGCAAGACTCATGTCGATCTCAGAGAACTTCTGTTCACACTTTAAGAATTAAAAAGTGTCACAGAAATTCTCAATTCATTTACATTATTTCATCGACACATAGGCCGTTAGAGGATATAACGCGTTTTAATTTTATTTTATATTGAGCAAAGATAGTAACATATTATGTTTAATATTTATTTATCTAGAAAAATTGTCATTATTTCAATATACTTCTATCATGCTGTAAGTATATAAGCGCCATCTACTAACATATACCAATACTTGCTTGTATATCAAATATGTATAATGGAAACACTAAAGGTGTAACGAGTTATATTAGTTCAAGAGAATTATACAAGATGGCGCTCTACTCAAAAATTAAATTACTATCACTAGAAACTTCCTGTCTCCGAGCTACTCCGAGAATATTTTGACAGAAAAATCCCGGGACCACACGATTTGCAGTCGCAGACCACTGGATCAACGAGGCAGTCACAAAGTACACAATATTATAAAGGGAATATACATAATAATATATACAACGTCTAAAATAACCCTGTGGTTCCCGTTGCGTGCGTTATCAGAAACGGTATTCAAACGTATATAAATAACTTTTTTTCCGAAATCTGGACAATAAAAATTAAATCTTTTTAAATACAATTTTATTTGCATATTTTATGCGATTTTATTACCTCTGCATAGCCCTGGCGCAAGGTATTATCAAAGACCCCGCTTGAGCGATATCAATTTGCAAATAAAAATTTATTTAAAATAAGTAAATTTTTTACTATGGTCGCGTTTTCTGAAATAAAGTTATTTCTGTACTGACTACTGATTCTGATGACACACTTAACCACAGAGTTTTTGTTACATTATTATGTATATATACTTTATTTTAAACAAGTTAGCTAATTTACAAAATTTATCATAATACAGTGATTGAGGTAAATATTCTATGTGGATGTCACTTTAAGCCGTCTGCATGTCTGTAATCATCTAATCAGAAATAAGACACAAAACATCTCGAGTACCTATCAACTTTGTTAGCTCAATGTCTATTACAGTATTTACACAATGATTACATAGGTATTGAGTAAGGTTCCGCAAAAAAAAATCCTATGCATGTCTAATACCTACATGTCTTTTCGTGCACATTTTTATAATATTACAGTAATTAAGCATTCGACCATTCACGTGATGGTAAGTGACCACTTTAGTCCATAGGCACCTGGAACCAATCTTAAGAAAAGAAAACCAAAGGCGCGTTGTTACTTCTTAGGACTAAGTTTTCTCTGGGCCGGCGCTCGGCGCGCGCCACTTTCCGTAAGAGCCGGCGCGTAAATCGTTCCGTCTCACATTACACGCCTCTTGACATCTTTTACCTAATTTATGAGCTCACAGTACATTCATAAATAGCTAAAGAACTGTACTAGCAAAATAACATAAAGTAATAGTAATTTTGTTATGTTTGAATTGAATATATAGCAGTTTGTCCAGGTAGTTTTGAAAATTCACGAGTTCTTAGAGAAATTTATTTACAGTAGCGAGTACGTACAATATTTGAAGTTTTATTTTCTTTTATTGTAACCTACGTAAAATTTCCTAAACAAAATATTATTTTTTAAATATTTATCATATAAAATTATTTAGTTTTGTCGGATTAAAGCGACTAATTTACGCCACGGAAGCGTATCGGGCGGGCAAAGTCAAAATTGTTAGAAACGGTCCTATGCCACAAATATAACTTTTATCGGCTATATTTTTTTTCACAGTATCAAAAATGTGTTTGTCTCAAACATACAAAAAAATAATGTCGTATCTCTAAAAAATATAACTGTAATTGCGCAATTTTTAGATCCATTGCTCAAATTAAGTACTTATATCTTTATTGTATTTTATCTTCTATAAGTAACAAAATGAAGTATACTCGTAAACATAGAAAGAAGAATAAATAGTCTTTCTAATGATATGCAACTTAATAATATAGATTAGGCTTAGAAATATACAAAAAAATGGCACTATCTTCTAGCCAGAGTCACGCACACACATAAATGCATAGTTTTTGAGTACGAACCTACATTATTTTGAGTTTTTTTTATATAAAAATACCCACATAGTTGAATTTTTTTTGTAAATGTAATTTTGAAATAAAGGAGACGGTCCATTTCAGGCCCAGTCTATGTACACTATACCGTAAAAAAACGAAAAATACAGCGATTTTATTTAAAATGAAATAAGAAAATAAATAAAACCAATTTTTTATGATTTTACAAGGTGGCACCCTTCCAGTCATAAAATTATATGTCAAGTGTGATGTGTGAAAAGTGACTAGAGTCATGAAATAATGTAGTTAGTGTGATATTTTTGGCCAGCGTGAAAAAGCCATTTTTACGCTGCTGTGTTTGGTATGGTGAGCGTTGAGAACTGGAGACCATTTTAACTGGAAATGAGGCAATTCATCTTTTTCCTCGAGACTGACAACATATTTGCATTTTGACTCTTAACTGGTGATGAAGATGTTTATGGGCAATAGCACCCACTTACCATCAAGTGGACTGTGTGCAGGTTTGTTACCCTTATGATATAAAAAATAAACTAGGATACGTATCCTTTGTAGTGCGGATCACGCGCCGCGGGTGTTTTTGATATTTATTGTCAAAAGAACCCGCGGCGCGGGTCTTCTCAGTAGCAGTCCAGGTTCAGGAATTTGCTGCGTTTCACCCAGTGCTCCGGATAGCTCGTAAAGTCGTTGGCCGTGCGCCTCATCTCTCACCGCTTGTATCGGATTACCATACGTACAATAAAACTTTGAAAGTGTAATGAAAAGTATACCGGTGCTTGCGTATACACTCTTGCACTTCAATCCTGTCCTCCGCAGTTGGCAATATCCGTTGATATTGACCGCCGTCACTGATATTCATTCTGGAGGACATTACTGACTTAGTAAGTTTTGGTAGGCAAAAAGTAAAAACGATAACAATGCATTTTATTTTACGGAACCCAAGATGAAATACAAAAGTTTACGCAAAGGCAAATAATTAAAAAGGGTTCATTGTAATTGTGATTTTATGAGTGTAAGTTATTTAAACACGATTTCTCCTAATATAAATAGAAATCCTATTAATATAAATAAAAAAGTCATATATTATATATACTAAAAATATTGTGATTTTTGATCACACAAAATATAAGAGAACATTTTACGAATGTTTTGCTTATAATTATATGACACAACTACATTTAAGACTAACTGTGCTCTAATAAATAGAGTACACCAAAATCTTATTCACGTTTGTTTGTAGAAAGATTGACGAGAAATCCACTTTTATCACTAATATCTCTGCTATTATTGTTGTAATAGAGGCTTGATAGCAAGCCTACGTGTACCATTGTGACAGTGGAGGCATTGCTCGACACTCGAGACACGTTTAGTGTGATTTCTACATTTTTGTTGAATTCTAACAAAAATGTACGAGAAAATAAAAAATACTACAGTTGCAGTGTCACCTATATATTTTAACATTGCAGAATACTGTTTATTTGGTATTAACGTCGGTGTGATAGTCGGTATAATTTTGTATTTTATTGTGGTGAATAAAAAATATAATACAGTAGATGGATTTCTGTTTGGCGGTAAAAATATGACTGTTATATCTATTTCACTCGCTCTCATTGCTAGGTAAGTAATTTCATTATATTTATATTCTTCCTATTATTCTTCTATGTCAGCTCATCAAAATTCCACTGCTTGACATAGGCCTCTCTCTCTTTGAAGAGAAAATTTGCCGTAATATAATCGATAATAATAATAATCGATATTTTACGCTTGGCGGTAAATTAAGGGATTTATCGCCATCTCACGGGAGCCATAAAATATTGCTGATATATTTTAAAATTTTGTTGGAAATGGGATACCAAACATTGTGTATATAAAGAATTAGCTAATAACCTTGTTATAGCCCATGTAGTGGGGGTAAAAATACCCACTACCCCATATCTTCTCGTGGGTGTCGTAAGAGGCGACAGAGGGAAACTGAGGCGGAAGATGGGCAGCAGTATCTTTCTGATAACAACAAAAACAACAAAAAACTGCGGTTGTCACACCGCTCGCCAAGCGTGGCAGCTATGGCAATATACCCCCCATGAGCAACGACACAAATAAATGGCCCCCAGTTCTCGGCGGCCTGGCCACAGTTGCGACCATGGTTACAGCGGGGCAGGGGGTGCTAAGAATGTCCGGTGGAGGTTCGGCTGACACCTAAGATACTTCGAACTGGTGCATATAACGCACGCAGCCTGAAGACTGACGAGAAGACCCTGGAGCTAGAAGAAGAGATAGACATGTTGCGCTGGGATACTATAGGATTATCTGAAGTCCGAAAAGAGGGGGAGGACACGGTAATCCTCGAATCTGGTAACTTGTTCTGTCACCGGGCGCCTATCTGTCCCAAGGAGGTGTTGGATTTATCGTCCACAAGTCTCTCGTTAACGACGTTGTAAAGATTGGGCGTCGGCGGTCGATGAGGTTTACGTACTTTATACTCAGAACCACTAAACGGTATTCGCTAAAGCTCATAATAGTTTACGCACTAACTTTGGCACATCCCGATGAGGAGGTGGATAAAATGTATGAGGATATATCTATTATACAGTATAAGATTTATTATAAAAATTAGCCATGCATTCATATACCAAACAAAGCCCGACTACTACACAACAATAAAAGATGTTAATGGAGAGACAAATTCAAAACAACCACGCAAAACAACGTTTACACTAACATCTGATAATATACCCAGCACAAGAGAGAACGGTGAGCTGAAAGCAGGGCAATTCGGAATAGGGCAACGAAACCAAATGGGCCAGCAGCTGGTCAACTTTATGCAGAAAGAAGGACTCCTTATGATGAATTCTTTCTCCCAAAAGTGACCCCACATAAAGTGGACCTGGTCGAGCCCTGACGGTTCGACAAAAATTAGATTGACTTCATTATGATGACCAGACGACAACTGCTCAGTAATGTCTTAGTGATCGTAAGGGTGAAAACTGGCACGATTACCAAATGGTGAGAGGCACACTGAACCTAAAAGTGAAGAGAGGTCACGTTTAATGAAGTCAACGCTCCGTCGCCCTTGTGCTCTAATCCAAGACACCGAAAACTTTTAGCTCGAATTACAAAAATCGAATCAAAATCGAATGTAAACGATTCAGTGCCTAGAATACTTCAATGAGGTGGACGGTATGAATGACAAGCTTGTGGAAACCGTCTAAGCGATCGGAGCTAAGTTCTGTAAGACCCGTTGCAGAAGAACACAAAAACCCTACGATCACACTCTTAATCTTATAGCTGTTCAACGGGGAATGAAGCTGCAGTCTTCAGCAGATTTGGCATCATACAGGCAACTGAACAGACAGATCTCCAAATACATGTGGCGGGACTTACGCAACTTCAGTACAGCTCGTATTAAAGTAACGATCGAGCGGAAAAAAGGCTTCAAAGTCTTTGCCAGAAATATGTCTGTCAGAAATAGTAAACTGTCGAAGCGATAGGCCGAGTGTGGCAGCATCGTTTCCGGGACAGCTGGGATTTTGAATGAGATTGAGAGGTTCTATGGGCAGTTGTACACGTCACCGTTGGAGCGATATGCAAGTGTGAGTAATAATCCAAGTATCTTATCCGATACTATTCCGATGATATCCCGGATGTCAGTCTGAGCGAGATTAGAATCGATCTCTAGGCAAAACGGCAAGTTCCTAAGAGAGGAATGAATTGCAGTAGACTTTCTGAAAGCGGGTGAAAAACCGATACGTAAAGTCCTTCAAAAGCTCTTCAATTCCTTCCTCCATGGTGGCACTACTCCGGAGGCGTGGAGCAGAAGTGCGTTGGTCTTGTTCTTCCAGAAAGGCGCTAGGTTCACTTGAGGAGCTACAGACCGATTTCCCTTCCGAGCGGCTCTGTTTTTAGGAGAATTACGAGTCGTCTCGCACGCAGATTAGACGACTTCTAGCCTTCCGAACAAGCCGGTTTCCGAAAGAGCTTAAGCACTATAGACTACATACATACCCTTCGGCAAATTGAACAGAGGACCGAAGAGTACAATCTGCCACTATATCTTGCATATGTGAAATATGAGAAAGCCTTTGATTCCGTCGAAATTCGGGCGGTGCTGTAGTCCCTTTAGAGGCGCCAAGTTGATTGTTGGTATATCGAAGTGCTGAAGTTTTGGTACAGTAGGGCTACGTTGGCTATCCGAGTTTAGAACTGGAGCAGAAAACCTATCCAACTGCGGAGAGGTGTAAGACAGTGTGATGTAATATCCCCGAAACTCTTTACCGCTGTATTGGAAGACATTTTCAAGCTATTGGACTGGAAAGGATACGCTATTAACGTCCATGACGAGTACGACACTCACCTTCGATTTGCCGACGATATATTCCTTATGGTAGAATCGCTGAAGGACGTAAGCACTCACTGCTAGCTGTATGAAGAAGCTTGAGGTCGCTCAACGAGATATGGAAAGAGCTATGCTCGGGGTTTCTCTGTATGACAAACTTAGAAAAGAGGATATTAGCAGTAGAAGTAGAGTGACCGACATAGCCCATCGGATTAGTAGGCTGAAATGGCAATGGGTCGGCCATATAGCTCGAAGAACCGTTAACTGATGGGGAAGAAAGGTTCTAGAGTGGCAGTCTCGTACCGGCAGGGGATGTGTAGGGCGTTCTCCCACTAGATGGAGTGACGAACTGGTAAGACATATAGCAAGTCGATGGATGCATTTAGCTCAAGACCGTGCTTTTTGGAATTCCTTGGGGGAGGCCTATATTCTGTTGTGTGTGTGTGTGCTTGTGACTTGTGAAGGGCTGAAATAATGATGATGTTGATGATGTTAGCTTTTGAAATCACTTAAACGTTGGGTTGAGATAATGGTAAGAAAAATATTAGTACTATTTACTTAAGTGAGTTTTTCATTAATGTTTAATTCGGTAAGAATTTTTTTTAAATTCAAATTTGTTAAAAACACTTCAACTTTATGTTAATGATGGGTAGTCTTAAAATATTATGTGTTTGGAGACTGTCTTTAATAAAAACAGTTGTCTAAACTCCCTCGTTTCACTGTCGCTACTGGTTCAAAATTTGTACTCGATTTTTAAAGTACTTGCTTACATCCGATTGAACTATACTTGGCAAATTTATATAAATTTAACGTCAATGTTGAATTTTTTTTTATAGGATTGGGTGACAAACGAGCACACAGTCCACCTGATGGTAAGTGGTTGCTGTGGCCCATAGACATCTACATCTATCCTCAATTACGAATCAAAATGCAGATGCGTTGTCACCCGTGAGGACTAAGATGGAATGCCTCGTTTCCAGTAAAAAGGGTCTCCGGTTCTCTACACTCACCATACGAAACACAGCAGCATTAAGCTACTATTTCACGCTACGTACGTACTACGTACGTTTACGTAAATATAGATCCGAATTCTGACCAACACTTTTAATAAAAGCGCGTTTATTATTTTATGGAACATATACTTTTTATTTGTTTGTTTTCAGTCATTTAACAAGCATAACCTTACTCGGAGTGCCAGTCGAGATCTACCTCAGGGGAACGCAATACTGGGCATCCGCACTTTCGCTTATCGTTGTCACTCTTCTTACAGCTGTCATTTATTTGCCTGGTAAATATTAATGAACTCATGTTTGGTTTAGAACAAAATGATTCACCTACAACACTTAGGTTATGAATCTGTTGTGAGTTAAAGTCGCATACAAATTACTTCGAAAGTTTGTCTATTCAACTATTTTTTTAAGATTTTTAACTTTTTAAAAAAAGTTAAAAATCTTAAAAAAATCTGAAAAAGTTAAAAATCATACTACGATCTTATCTGGTGGTCCTGGGAGGTAAATTGCATTATATTAGAAAAAAAATATTACTCCTCTCTTTAAGTCACCCGCATTCAATTCGGACGGAATGACAGGTAGATAGGAATTATATAAATCATTCCTACCCTTTGCTATGCGCATTAGAGGCAACGTAGCAGTAGCATAACGCTTATAAAACATTTATTTGCTACACTACCGAGTCATAATTAAACATTTTATTTTCTATTTATTTATTTAATTTATACAATAAAATTTACCTTATTTGTAGGATTTCACTTGAGTTTCAGGTATTTCATATAATTAAACTTTACAATACCCACAAAGTACTCTGAATGAGGCGTTGAATCTATTTACGCATAATTTCATAATTGTAACAAGGTTTTGTCCTTGTCCCCCAGGATCAGATAACTGTTATCCTTAGGAGACGTTTATGGTTAAAAAAATGTGTTATCCTTTTCAGTATTTCATAAACTGCAACTGTCATCGAGCTTTGAATATCTAGAAATAAGATTTTCGACCCACACTCGCACGATCGCGGCTGTGCTGTTCCTCGTCAGTAAGCTGATGCTCTTGCCGATAGTACCATACGTTCCACTTTTAGCATTTAGATTGGGTAATGTATCATTATTTATCATAAATTATACTTATATTATATTTATACTTTATATTACCTAAACGATAGCTTTTTTAATACTGTATTACTTTATTATTTATATTAACAATAAAAATCTCCCGGTAGATAATAATTACGAATACACCGAAAGTACTAACTGTGCAGGACATATTATGGAGACAGTTTAGTTAAGAGTTTAGATATATTATGTAGTTTAGTTATTGTTTGAGCTTTTCACAATCCGATGTAATTGTAATGATAATCACATATTTGTAATATATCTAAAAATCCTTAACAATAATTTAGCTACTCTGCACCCTTACTAAGTCATAGTAAAAAAAATCATGGAGAGCATTTACTAAATTTGTGGGAGATACATTCATTTAACTAGCAGTCGGAGTACAAACACGAAAATAGTGAAAAAGTAAGTGGTAGCCATTATTACGTAACTCTTTTTGACAAATATGTCTACTAAAGGTATATACGTTGTTTTATTGGAAGTTCAAGGAGACTCTGCTTCTTAACACTCTAGATCAGCACACTGGTGGTTCTGGGTGGTGGTGGTCCGTTTATTAAACATTTAGCTGAGGTCACTCTATACAAATTTTGCTTCATCAAGGTAATACGTGCTTACACAATGATGAAGTTGTGATGACTGCCGTCCAAGAAGCATGGTTCTAATTTCGAATAACTACTCTAATCTCCAGACGTAGCTCCAGTTACTTTCTCCTTTTTTGCTCTGTTCAAGAAACATTGGTAGAGGCATGCTGCAGTTATATTAGTAGTATATTTGTGGCACGAATGGGTTGACTCGACCGGGGAAGCACCACGCTCTCACAGAAAACCAGTGTAAAATAGTTGCGTAATGCTGCTGTGTTTCGTATGGTGAGTGTAGAGAACCGGAGATCCTTTTAACTGGAAAAAAACATTTTATCTTAGTCCTTACGGGTGACAACGCATCTGCATTTTGATTCGTAATCGAGGGTATATATAAATGTCTATGGACCACAGCAACCACTTACCATCTGGTGGATTGTGTGCTCGTTTGTCACCCTGTCCTATAAAAAAACAGTTCCGGGGTAAGAAATTTAAAGATTAGGAAGCTAGCAAGGTGATGGCCGGCGGACAAATTTCGGAGATACAAAATATTTTAATATGTAATGGAATTCAGGGTTTCGGGGCATTCTTTGGGGGAGACACACGTTCAGTTGTGGACTTGTAGCTAAATGTTTTTATGTGAACACTTTGGCAACTAAAAATTTCTGGTTTTAGAATCGTGATAAAATCCACTAATAGACAATTTGCTTACTGTTAACACATATAAAACTAATTACGAGTACAATATTTTCAGTGCTAAGAACAAAAAAACTGAAAATCACTTAACTCTCCGCATAAGTGACGAAATTTAACCAAAGTTAGTACAGAAAAGTATCTTGAACTCCACCTAGATAAACATTTAACGTGGCAGCTGCACCTATCTAAATTAAGATCTAAGCTATCTTCTATCATGGGTGCGCTTCGAGGCATTCGCTGTCTGCTAAAATCAGTGAGATATAAGGAGTAACAGAAAAACATATTTCTAGACGACACAATAATATTTGACAAGACTTAGTGGGTTGATTGGTCTAAGGACTAAGAAAACCACGAACTAACTATTAAAGAAAAAATATATTATACTAAGGAGCAGCGAGATATATAGTAAATTGCCTAATAAAATAAAAGAGATCCTTTTTACTTTATATAAAATATTTTAAAGCAGCAGATCTCAAAAGATTTTTCTCGATTTTAAACCAATAACTTATTTAAAAAGCCAATGTAATTTCTTTAATTAATTTGATTTTACCACTTACATAAAATGTAACCATTAATATAAAAATACCATTTAAATTGGTTGCAAATATGAACAATGTGTAATTGCTTTAGACTTGCTTTCAATAACAATACATATGTAATTGTACACCTACCTTTCTTGTTACACAACAATGTAGAAGATTGTGCATATCCACTACATAATATACCATTTACGAGTACCTGCCGTTTGTTTTGTATTTAGTATCTAATAATTAACTTGTTATTTCTCATGATAGGTGAATTGTGTTCCTTTTGAGAAATAAATCTCTTTAACCGTAATAGAATACCAACGAAGGATTGGAGATAAATACCAACGTTGTTAGTATTAAATCGTACGTCTATAAATTTTATGACACTCTTCCATTTTATATATTCCAGTTACCAACCCTATAGCTGGTCGAATAACAGCCGTGGTTTGCGTATCTTGCGCAACGTTTAGCGCAGTTGGAGGACTTCGGGCTATCGTTAGCATTGGTATAGTGACAACTTTCCTGGCTGTGGCAGGAACGGCTCTGCCAAGTGGGCTTGCTCTGTTGCCAATGGGATTCAAGCGAATGTGGGAAATTGCTAGTCATGGAGGGCGGCTGGTGCTTTATGAGTAAGTATATTTTGTTCCTTCTATTATACTTTATAAGCATACTTAAAAGCATACAAAGATTAGCAACCAATACCACCTTTTGGGGAAGAGGAAGATTCCTAAGTTAAAATATACACATTGTTCATAATATGGCTGCAGCGTGGTAGAGCCACTTGCCGCCAGCAAGTGGCCAGCGCCGCCAGCCAGAGCTTGATGCCGGTGTGTTTAGCATGGTGAGTGTAGAGATCCGGAGACCGTTTTTTACTGGAAACGAGGCATTCCATCTTATTCCTCAGGGTTGACAACAACGCATCTGCCGATTCAATCGAGGAAAATTAGATGTCTATACCACAGCATTCAAAACCATCAAGTGGACTGTGTGCTCGTTTGTCACCCTTATTATATAAAAAAAAAACTCTTTTTTGAGGCATACTGCCAGTCTCTTTTTAATTTCTTATATTCAGTCTTTCTATTCGTGTTCCGTATGGGTCAATTACACACAAAGGGCATATAAAGAGTTAAAGATATAATATAATAATGCATTTAGAGTTCTGTTGGGGCTGTCCCACTTCTGCAGCCCTTCAGGCATGTTCTGCGGGACCTGCACCGACGGGTTAGACGCGATAATGCGCAAAAAACCTCGGTTGTAAAAGGATTATAGAAGTGACCGTTACCCAACTCTAATTGGAAACCTGAAAGGTTTTCTTATATACTACATTTTAGATATGCAGAAGTAATTGTTTTCCTAATGACACCCTTCATTACTCAATGTGAGCGTGTTTGTTTATGTGAGTGTTTCACTCTAATTGTTTTTTGTTTTAATATGACACTAAAAAGTATGATAATGTTTTGATTGAAGGCATATAAGTATATCAATGAAAATTAATTTTAGCCCAGATCCCGAATTGGCACATCATACGTCGTTCTTCGCTGTGACCTTAGCACTCAGCACCAATTGGCTCTGGAAGATAGCTCTTAGTCAATCAACGCTTCAAAAACTGTTAGCCGTACCAACCATTGGCAAAGCTAGATTATGTCTGGCGATCTCCTGTGTTGGAGTCATACTTATGAAGCTACTTTCATGTTTCCTTGGCCTAGCGCTATACGCTTGGTATGCTGGCTGTGATCCACTTCTAACTGGCCAAATTAAAAAGCATGAACAGGTTATTATATTTTATTTTATTAGACTGTGTTAAATAAAATTACACCAGTAATTTATCGATAAAACTTGTATACGTTTTCCATATCATGATCGTAGGAAGCGCCTGAAAACTATACTCATAACCTCTAAATTAAACTGTATTATGATTATCTTCTGTTAGTAATCGTGTAACTTTCCGAACCACTTAATCGATTAAGGTCTATTCACATTATATTGCTCTACTATATGTTAGGACTCATCTACTCTACTCCTGCCTATTCCTGCCACCAAATGGCAGTGCTTGCATCGCTGTGGTTCCGTCTGAAGGGTATAGGGAGCCAATATTGTTCTGGATGTGAGACATTTCATCTAAGTCCTAAAAGGTAACAACGCATATGTTGTGGTGCCGATGGGATCAGTAGCCACCTACCATCAGATGGACCGTAAGTTCCTTTGTCACTTTAGTTTTATTAAAAAATTGTTAAGACCCAGCTATGTTAATATACAGTGGTATACGCACGCGGCAGCTTTGCTGCTGCACGTATGGGCCGGCTCAAACCGCTGCGATACCACGATCTCACAGAAAACCAGCGTGAAGTAGAGATTTACCTCTGTGTTCCGCTTGGTGAGTGCCGGTGGCAGGAGGCCCAATTAGACCCCCCCCCATCAACATGATAGAGTACCAGCCCTCCTGGTAATGAAGAATCCCTCGCCGCCCAGTGTATTATGGGATGACAAACTTCCGATCAAGGCAAAAACTGCTCGGGGCAAGCAATAAGGCCAAAGCGACCCCTGCCACGCCATCCGTTGATTTCTGCAACATTAGGGGACTTCATACAAACCTAAATGCCGTCCACTACCATTTGAAGACGGTGAATCCGGCCTTGCTCTTTCTGACCGAGATGCAGGTGTCCTCTGCGGCTGATTCGTATCACTCCTACCTGGGATACAAATTGGAACACTTCTTTGTGCCTCGGGCTGGAGTTTGCGTATATGTCAAAGATAACATCTGTTCTTGACGCCTCGCCTCGGCAGTCTTGAAGGTTCTGACCTGTTCATCCTTTGGCTACGCGAAGACAGCAACGACCATCCACGCGTCTACGGGTGCCTCTATAGGTCCCATAGCGGTATTGCTGTAACAGATCGACTCATCGACCATGTCCAAATTGCTACAGCAGATCCGATCCGCAGAGATCGTGCTTCTTGGCGATCTTAATGCCCTTCACGCCGAATAGCTCTGTTCACTTTTAATCGATCATGCGGGGAGATCTGGTTATGACTTTGCCTTGGCATATGGTCTGACACAACTGGTTACTTTGCCTACGCGGATTCCAGATGTGGAGAATCAAGTACGTTTCCTGTCGGACCTTCTGCTGACCTCTCATCTGGACGGATATCAGGTTTCCGTCGACGCCCTTTTTAGCTCCTCTGACCATATATATAATAGAATGAGGTTGTTCTTTGCATACTACCTTTGGCGGCGGGTTTACTTCCCACCGGATGATCCCAATGTTGTTGCTAATTCTGACGCTGATGTGGTACTTCAGGATATGGAACTTTTTATTCCTTCTTCTGTGGTGCCCATCAAGGACAGATCCCAGCCATGGTTTGGTTGCTCTTGTAAAATAGCATCACGCTATAAGCAGAAGTGCTACCGGGCCTGGGCTGACGCATCAACGGCCCGGGATGTAAACACCAACGCCGTTAAAAAGTAATACGATTCCACCTCTAGGTCCCTCAAAAGAGTAATTGCTAAGGCAAAGTCAGAGCACATATGTAGAATTAGCGAGAAACTAGTTCGCCTTCCTTCAGGGACTCGTGCATTCCGGTCTCTCGCCAAGGCTGTCCAAGAGAACTTATGCCAGCCATCAATCTGTTCCTGATAAAAAGGATCTCTCAGTCATACGGACAGACGGGAGGACATGTACTTCTGAGTTGGCACCAGTTCGAACGATCGAAACGTCTTTTCCGATACTCTTACTCCCTAGGTAAAGCTTTCGTGCACCCAATACCTAAAAAAGATAACCGCTCTGGTTTAGACTGCGTTTGGACATTGCGAAGGCCTTCGATATGGTTTGGCACAAGGCGTTTCTTTCGAAGCTTCCCGTGAAGTTGTGCATTTGGATCACCAGCTTTCTTGCAGATCTGAGCATCAAGGTGGTTATGCATTCTCCTATTACAAGCCTATTAATGCTGGTGTTCCACATGGCTGCGTGCTATCACCGACGCTGTTTCTTCTGCATGTTAATAATATGTTGCATTACCGGTAACATTCATTGCTATGCGGATGAAAGTACTGGTGATGCATTATACATCGGCGGTGCCAATATTTCTGGGGAAAACGTCCCGAGTACTGGGACAAATTTGTGTCTGAAGTCGGGTCTTTGCTAAACAAGGTATCGGATTGGGGGCGACTAAATCTAGTCCAGTTGAATTCCCAGAAGACACAAGTTTGCGCGTTTACCGCTAAAAAGAATTCCTTTGAAGTATCTCCCTAGTTTCTAGTCCCCTTGTTGCCTAAGCCAGTATCGAAATCCTCAGGGTCAACATATCGAACGAAGTGCAGTTTCGTGGTCACTTGAAAGAGAAGGCCAAATTGGCCCCTAAAACGCTTGGCGTGCTCAGTAGAGCGGGACAGTATTCATGCCGGCACACCGCCTGCAACTTTACAAGGCGCAGGTTCGGCCGCTCATGGAAAATTTTACCATTTCTGGCCCAGAGCTATTATTGTTACCATTTCTGGGCCAAGGTTCCCTAGGGCCAGCTCCTTACATCCAGCGCAGAATGTCTCGAATCATCAACGACCGAGTCCTCTCCGATCGGCTCGATTTTCTGGAACTGAGAGGAGATGTTGCATCCCTTTGCATCTTCTATCGCATATACCACGGGGGGTGCTCTGAGGAATTGTTTGGATTAATCTCAGCCGCTAAAGCGTCACGTCGCGACAAAATTCGGGATACCATCTACACCATCTGTATGCTCGGCGGTACACTACTATACGTTTCACTAGGGGTTTTTTCCTTGTACGACCCCTCTGTGGAATCGTTTACCACCGGCGATTTTTCCGAACCGATTCGCCTTGTGGACCTTTATTATATTTAAGTTCAATATTTCGGGACTAAAATGACTCATATTCACAATATATATGTCGACTGCATCGTTGATCTAGTGGTTGTAGTAGTGCGACTGCTAATCATGAGGTCCCGGGTTCGAATCTCGGATCGGGCAAAAATGTATATGTTATGGAGTTTTCCATCAAGACCTTCTCAGTAGCTGCCCGTAGTCAGGAAGCTGGCGGTGTCTCACACCCTTGCCTCGGAAAGCAAGTAAAGTTGTTGGTCCTGCCTCTGATCACCCTCAGGTTGTGTCGGCTTACCGTCCCATCGGACCATGAGAGTAAAGGAATAGAGAATGCACCTGTGCTTGCGCATACACTTGGGCACTACAATCCTGTCCTGCGCCGATGGCTAGTCTCCGTTGAGACTAGCCGAAATTGTGTCTAGAGGACATTAAAATAAAATTAAATGAAATGAATGATTTAATCAATATAGATTATTGCATAATACTTATCGAAAGTCATTTTTTTATTTACAATTTTCACACCATTATTATTATAATTAATGGAATCGGGCGACACTTTGCGGAAATCCATTACATAAAAGTTAATAAAAACTAATTCACACATTTTTTCAAATTCAACGCCTGCTCAGTTATATTAGTAGTATAGTTGTAGCACGAATGGGTCGCCAACCACGCTCTCACAAATACCAGAATAGTACTAATCTGCTTATTCATTGAGTGTAGAGAACCGAGACCCTTGCAAATACTCCATCTCACCTCTACAACATTGCATTTGTGGAAGATAATGTAGATGTCTATGGGCCGCAGCAACCACTTACCATCAGGACCTCTTCACCCTATTCTATAAAAAAAACACTAATCCCAGCACCACTACTCCCAACACCACTACACTAGGAAAGACACGTGTTTCGCCTCCGCACGAGGCATCCTCAGGTGATGCAGACTCTGCGGTGGCTACGCTGCGCTAAGTACAAGTCACCAATATGTGCTATCGTCGATGTTGTGTCTTTCCCGATGTAGTGGTGTTGGGAGTAGTAGTGCTGGGATTAGTGGTGACGAGATTAGTGCACGCGATTGAAGAAGGGCGGGAGGTGCTCTTCAAACTAATTAGCACACGTCATTTTATTTTATTGAGCGGATGTGTGCGAATTAATTGTTAACAACTTTAATACCACTATTATTATTATTTATGGGGTATCGATATAGTTTTCTCATCTGGTTGGGCTGTATTAATATATAATTGTAAATGAAAATGATAAATATACATGAATATCAATAAAATAAATAAATACATTAATAAATAAAAAACATCCAGGCGGAAGCGCTCGGCAGGGAGACCAAACGGCCTAGGGTTAGGGGGAAAGTGAAAGAAACAATGCGGGTAGTATCGAGGAGCACCTCCTTCTGCATTTGTTTACTATTATTATTATATTATGTTGTTGGTCCTTTCCGAGAGACGGAGCTGCAACACCACCAACTTTCTGATTTCGGGCTGCTTTTGACAATTTCTTGTCAGAATATCTCAATAACAGATTTTTGCCTGACCCGGAATTCAAACCAGGGGCCCTATAAACAACAGGCACACTTACGACCACGACCACGACACCAACAAGGCAGTCACCAACTGTATATCATACAACACTATTTTTGCATGTAGATACGAAAATAATTATTTTTTCACAAGGAAACCCCAACGGGTAATATAAGACGGTCCTACTCGTAATGGACTGACGTACTCGTAAGTTCCTTTTTACTTTAGGTACTTTGTTCTTAAACTAAAGGAGAGTCTAAAGGAAGGTCTTTTGGTCTTGACCTCTCGGTCGAAGTTGGACTTACTTAGTCGGACTATTTATCCCAGGTAAACGTACTCGTCAACAACTTCGAGCATAGTGCTCCCAACAACTACTGGCATAGGTATGACATGGACAATAAACATGATCTTTGTTTTGTCCATGTACATCTTAAGACTTTTCACAGTAAGCTTGGTTAAATACCTACCGGATATAATTGTAACACTCTTTTTATCCCTTCTTTAGTGCGGTTCATAATTTTAGGTAGTTATTGAAAATTTAATAATAATTATCATTCTCTGCATAACCTATAATTTATTCTGTGGTGTAACATCAAATATTTAAAAAAAATCGTGATGCATAAGTAAGAGAAATTTTTCAATGTCATACGATCTCAGGGCTAATATTTTTACAGTATAATTTTTTCACTGTTATGTTTTGTTAGTTTTAACAAAATTTTTATATTAGTGTTACATATTTAATACGTATTTTTTTGTTTTAGTTGGTCCCTCATTTTTTGAACAACTTAGCTGCAATGTTTCCTGGAATTTGTGGTATTTTCATCATCGCAATATTTAGTGCAACTGCAGGGTAATAATGAAAATGACAAATTAATTTTTTTATTTTTCTTTTATTCAAAACTTTATTTACAATTTTTCAGTTGCATCGCGTCGTTGATAAACTCAATATCAGGAGTTCTTTTTGAAGAATTTATCAGGCCTTGGATGCCTCAGAATACAAACGAACTGACGTGCTGTAAAATAATGAAGGTAAGTTTCATCGATATTTTTATTTTTAATTATTTAAATCGAAACATAGTAGCAGAATCTCGTGTAATCCCTCTCCTATAAAAAAAACAATAACAAGTTAAAAAGAAATAGTTTGGATAAGAACTTTAAAAGTTAATGACTTATATAATATTATAAGTACCTACATGTATCGATCCATAAGGATAGTGTTCTCACCACTACTTATTTGTTGCTCGTCATTGAAAACTAAATTTAATCGTCTAAACATAATATAGTCATTTATTAACTCGTATATCCACAAAGATTTGGAGGTATAATGAAAGATTATTGTTAAAAATATATATGAACCTATTCATCAAATATATTATATTTTACAGTCAAAACTCACAACCACTTTTAACTGCTTAAATCGGGCCAAAATGGTTTTGACCGATGCCCTTAGTCAAAACAGTTTTGACTGGTATTTGTATCCAAAAGTGGTTTTTACAAATGTTCTCAGTGATGTGATTTGTCCAACGTTCCAGTTCAATTCTTTTAATATATGGTTAACGCCGCACCTTACACCTATTGTAACTGAAATAGCCTTATCATTCGAGTAACTCGATACTTATCAAGTAGTTTTGACAAAGGACGTTGGAATTTTGACTGATTTTTTTAGTCAAAAGTGGTTTGAACGGTTATGAGTTTTGTCTGTAACATACACATCATCTGCACGTAGAATACTGCTGAATAATGGTGCCCAAACTTATGGCGAAAATCCGTATAAAACTGGTGATGAAGCACTGTCTTGGTCGTAGCATATTATTAGTCTGAGGCATATCATTACATATCGGTTTTGTATTCATTACCACCTAATGGTGAGTAAAATCTTGCAGGAATCTCCGATCGGGGCATATTTGGTCAGGCCTGTGTCTTGTAAGAGTATAAGTCCAACGCTCGCTTGCTTTCGATTGCAAAAAAACCGTCGAGCTTTGCTCATGTATGATATTAAATACTCGGTGTGACCGCCCTCATTATAACTTGATTTACAATCGATCCGAGTGCCCTAGCGTGATTTTGTTTTTTTTGTCTAGACGATAAGATAAGGAATAAAGTGACATTTGTTATTTTGACAAAAGTTGTGTGACAAACAATAACAATTGTGGTAGAAAATCTTAATAAAAAACAATAAAAGACGCTACCCTCCGTTGCATTATTTACCACTAAATCTAATGAGAAAAAAGGCTTTATTTTGTCCGTGTTTAGGAGTAGTAAATACATAGTGACTATGAGGAACACAAGAAGGATCTCGGAAACATATTCGACTTAACCCAAACCACGATGGGAAACAGCGTCACAGATAAGAGATATCTGGCTATGTGATCGTCAGATATATTGCGGCAGACACTCCGCCTGTCGATGCCAAGAGTTACGAAGCATATAATAGGTCCTCTATATTATTGCGTTCAACAGTGGACTGCAGTGTACTTGTAAGGAAGATAAGAAGTAGGAAGATATTGAATAACATATTGCTTATATTTGAAATTTTATTTTAGGTTTTGTGCATCTTAGTTGGTGTGTACTGCGCCGGTGTAGTTTGGACAGCTAAAGAATTAGATCGATTACAACATGTCGCTTCAGGAGTGACGGGTGTAACAGCTGGAACTTTGTTAGGACTATTCACACTGGGAATCGTATTTTCACGAGCTAACTGTTCCGTATGTATAATATTACAATTTTACCTTAACGCTCCCTGAATAATAATTATAACGCCATCTATTTTCTTTTTCGCAAATTCCGAAGTTTCCCTTATTTTAAAAACGTGTCGATTGTTGTATTTAGCGTCATCTATGAATCCCAACGTGCATGACTACAAATATCGCGTAACAAGTAAACAATTACATTATCCTTGTTAGTTATGGACTGAAACCCATAACGTAGATGTCACTTTTGTAAATAGTTTAGAATATATTTTTAAAGTAGTTAAAAGTACTAAATAGATAGCTGGTGCAGAGACTTAGCATAGATCTGTGGCGCTGAGAGCCTCAGGTTTGGATTCCGCACGGAATAAGTATTTTTAAGGCCTAAATATAATTGTTCCGGGCCTGGAAGTTTATCCATGTGCAATTTATGTATGTTAACTGCTTCTTCAATGCAGGAGAAAATTCTAATGAGTAACGTTTTTTAAATACGTCTAAATATAAAAAGATCGACTACTGGAAGGAAAGAATGGTTCTACGGCACAAATCGACATCCATTATAGATTAAGATAAGTAATTATCGAATTACACAAAATCGATGATTACTTACAGATTGCTTAGGCTAAGGGCCGTATTTTGTAAAAATTTATGGGCAGCCCAATGTTTAACAATGTTTAACTTGTAATGAGCTATACTTAAACCGTAAAATATTTTTGATGATATTGATATGTTATTATTGTTTCTTAACATATATTTATTCTTAATTGTATACCTTAACTAAAAGGATTACGAAGGGCGGAATTAATGTCTTTTGACATTCTCTCCCAGTCAACCCGGTACGTGTGGAAATAATGTGATAGGTACCAAAAATAAAAGAACGTTATTGTAAATGAGTATATATATATATATACATATATATATATATATATATATATATATATATATATATATATATATATATATATATAGCAGCGGAGTAAGCATTTTTGGCACCCATACTGCGCAATCCTTTTGCATGTGAAAATGAGTATGCAAAATATCGCCGATTCCATGCACCTTGCCCTCGCCACAATTGATTCAAAAGTCTTCTAAACAGTTTCTTTACTTTTTCAATATTTTCTTACTTAACGGCAGTGTTTGGCCATCCTGACCTGGTCATCTTCTAGCGACTCCCTAACATGCTTGAATTCTCGGCTCCAACGTTTCCCGTCCAGACTACCCGTAAACTGTCGATATCTCTTCAAATATTTCAGTCGGCGTTTTGTTCTTCTTTGTGAGGAATTTTATGACAGCTCTGTACTCCAATTTCGTAGAATACGCGGATGACAGAGTCATGATGATGCTTACGGATTAATTACTAAAAGCGTAATGATGCTAATGATGTGAAACTCTGTATTTATACTAAAGAGGGTGTTCGAAAATTAATAATATACAGCACAAGACAATAATGACACTTGAAAGTACTTTGCCTCAAAACTTTTCAGCCGCCCTTCGTATATATACATAATATATAAACACATATTTTAATGATAACACTGATCATATATGGGATATAAATTATTACACATATGTAGCCCATATTTATACTACACCTTTACTACTTAAAATAATTTATTATAAAGTCAATTTAATTATTTTAATATCGCATTATAAGATTCTAACATGTACTTAAAAGTAAATATAAAGTAAAGTATATTTACTAATTCTAAAAACATAATAAATTAAGGCCAAAGGTGTCACAATATTTTTAGTTAAATATTACAGTAATTTTTGAGTGTAATTTAAATTTGTCAGGTGTATTGCTTGTTTTGGTTCAAATATCAAAGAAAGAAATCGTGTAGAGGAGTGACGATGATAATCACTAGTCTTTAGAAACGTATCTTTATATAGGATAAAGTTTATAATAAGGTAGTTGCATCACACTTTACAGAGTATAATTTCTATATTGAAAGCTTTATAGCACAGTTACTCTTCGACTGAAAGGTAGGGCTTAATCAAGATATCATGAATAACATCAAAGCTTTAAAGGATAGATATTATACTCTATGACTAAAAGATACGTTTTCTTCAAGAAATAATAAATAAGTAATGGAAGCAGTTACATAAAAGACGTCTAGACTGCAGAGTTTTCGCGATAGTCACCTATAATGCGTGTCTAAGCTATGCCTTATTATTATTATCTTGTTGTATGTATGGAGTATTCCCATCTGGTTGGGCTGAATAAATATATATATTTATTAAAGGATTTTTTTATATAATAAGGAATAAGTGGATCTACTTTTATCCTCGATTAATAATCAAAATGCAGATGCGATGTCACCCCTGAGAACTAAGATGGAACGCCTTGTTTCGAGTAAAAAAGGGTAGGGTTTCACAGAATACCAACGAAAACATGCATCTAAATGCTGCTGTGTTATGTATGGTGAGTGTAGAAAAACGGACGCCCTTTTTACTGGAAACGAGGCATTCTATCTTAGTACTAAGGGGTCATTTTATTGATTGATTCTTACGCGAGGATAAATATGAATGTCTATGGGCCACAGCACTTATCATCAGGTGGACTGTGTGCTCGTTTGTCACCGTTATTGTATAAAATAAAATAAATATGTAACTTATCAACTGCACAAATTACGTAATTTTTTTTTATAGGATAGGGTGACAAACGAGCACACAGTCCACCTGATGGTAAGTGGTTGCTGCGGCCCATAGACATCTACATCTATCTTCCATTACAAATCAAAATGCAGATGCGTTGTCACCCGTGAGGACTGAGATGGAATGCCTCATTTCCAGTAAAAAGGGTCTCCGATTCTCTACACTCACCATACGAAATACAGCAGCATTAAGCTACTATTTCACGCTGGTATTCTGTAAGAGCGTGGTCCTTCCCCGGTCGAGCCGACCCATTCGTGCTACAACTATACTACTAATATAATTGCAGCATGGCTCTACCACGTAAATGTAGAGTTTATCCTACTCTTCCTAACATACCTAAATTATTTGCCGTAATATCAGGACGGTCTCCCGATTAGATTGGATAGACTACAAATATATGCGAAAAAGACCGATTATTACTAAGGATGATTAGTGAGGTTAGTTATTTTTTAAGAAGTACTAGCAATGATGTTAATGTTACTAATACTCCGGTGAAGTTAAAATTCCACTCTCAGTAAGCATAATAAATATGCTTGCGATAAGAATGGTATATTATGACATTAGTAGAATGCCAGATTGCAACTTACGGTTTTTAAGTTCGCGGTCCGAAGGTACCGTTTAACATTTAGCCATTAGGCTATTGATATTAAAGATCATCCTAATTTCAAAAGGAGAGAGGGTGCTTTTATAATTAATTTTATTCATAACTTTTAATGTATTTTATATTATTTTCGACACATACATAATAGTTAATAACATCAAAACTTTTAAATGGGTTATATGATATACATAATTTGAAACAGCGCAATTAAATTAGTTATAAATGAAAATAAAAATGTACATGTGAGAGCAATCATATCCCATAACCTAAAATTAGCCCTTAAGTAATACACGTTGGGCACATACTTTTGAAATGCTTAAGGTTCTATTTAAAATTAAATAAAAAAAATGTATATTTGCCAAATGCTATTGGATATTTAATCAATTAGCGTATGTTCCAATAAGAAGTAACATTAAGAATTCACTGTACCGTTCTCTCAACAGGGTGCTCTGAGCGGCTGTCTATTAAGTTTACTACTCTGTGGATGGCTTTTGATAGGCGCTGAAAACGCACTAGCTACGGGAGCGTTGACCTTTCAGAGCAAGCCTTTAGTCACCTCTGGCTGTGGTAAAGCGAATTTTACGCATATTTTCGCCAACATGACAACAACTATTCCCAACGCTGCGTAAGTATCTAATTAAATGTTATTTATAGGCAGCTAAGTGTGAAATATTCGTGTTATAACGCACATTGTTGTATTGTGTGATTAAACCCTTTAAATTGATGAGCTTTTGTCACAGACATCCGCTTTATAAGGTTACACCATTCATTTTGCTTATGTATTGTTTTTTCGTCTAGAAAAATGTTGTTTATCTTCATAATTACGATCTCTGTCTATAAACGAAAAAGGTCCCTGCTTTCTATTTACCTTTTATAGTGAAATAAATTCGCATTTCTTGCCTTTAATGGGATACCTTAAAAATAAACGCAACATTAAACCTTAATATACTGGTTACGATAGTTATAAATTCTAATGTAACTCGGGTTTCCCTCACGCTTGATCGGGGTTTTCCTTTGGGATTATTGGCGCAATATTATACAGTTATACTAAATTTGCTTCAAATTGACCCTAAAAAAGTAGAGTTCAGTAGTAGCCTATGTACCACTACTGGGGCACAGGCTTCCTGTCGTTTCTGAAAGGGTTTTAAGGCCTCCCAAAAATTACAGAGTACCATCTATATACAGATTACAGATTTGTTCTATGTTATTTTACATATACATATATACATAAACACTCACGCCTGTCACCCAGAGGGGTAGGCAGAGACTACAGACTTCCATTTGGCACGATCCTGACACACCTCTCTTGCCTCCTTCACATCCATATACCTACGCATACATGCTCGTCGGTTAAGGGTACTCCTAATTTGGCCCTTTTTCAATAAATCGCCAATTTGGTCGATACATTTTCGCCTAGGACGTCCCTTTCCGACTCTGTTATTCACTTCTGCACCATAAATTTTTTTTGTCATTCTTTTCTCATTCATTCTTTCCACATGACCAAACCACCGAAGCATTCCTTTATTAATTCTGGTCACAACATCATCTTGCAAACACACTCTTCTCTTATTACACAATTTCTTACCCTGTCATTCAGGTTCAGCCTTAACATACTCCTTAACGACCGCATTTCTACTGCGTTTATTCTACTCTCGTGCTTCTTCTGCCACACCCAACTTTCACTACCATACGTTAAAGTAGAGACCAACACAGCATTGTGAATTGCCATACGTGCCTTTTTCGACACATTTTGACTCTTCACAATAGAGTGCAAGGCCCCATTTACTCTATTTCCCGCATTCACTCGTCGTTCTATATCCTTATCATAGCTCCTATCCCTGCTAAATACGCAGCCCAAATATAAAAACTCATCTACTTGCTCGATCAACTCCCCTTCTATTCTTATTTCACAAATCGTTTTACTTTCTTCTCTTTCAAAAACCATAACCTTCGTCTTACTTGCGTTCACTTTCATACCCGTTTCTTTTAATGATCTGTTCCTTAATGTAACCATCATTTGCAACTCTGCCGCCGACGACGCAAGAATAACTTGATCATCGGCGTACAATAGGCATTTGACGGTTAACTCACCCATTCTTAATCCGCATTCTTCAACTTTCAAATTTTGCAAACAACTGTCCATAAATAGGTTGAACAGCCACGGGGAAGCCACACAGCCCTGTCTGACACCTTTATGTATGTCAAACCAGTCCGAGTAGACCCCGTTGATCCTAACACAAGCACTAGAGTCCCTATAAAGAGACTCCAATGCCTGTATCAAGCCAGCGCTCAACCCAAATGAGTTCAGTGTTTGCCATAGCAAATTCCTATCCACACTGTCATAGGCCTTTTCCAAGTCCATGAACGCACAAAAAACCTTTTGGTTTTTGGTCAGAAACTTCTCCGCGATCATGCGCATGGAAAAGACTTGATCTGTACATCCCATTCCCTTTCTAAATCCCGCTTGCACATCCCAAATTTTTCCATCAGTTTCTTTCATGACCCTTTCAATCAGTACCTTAGCATACAGTTTTCCCACAATGCTAAGAAGGCTGATGCCACGGTAGTTGTTACAGGTCCTGCTGCGACCCTCTTCATTTATATACTGGGACTATCACGGCTTTGCACCAGTCTACCGGTACCCGCTTCAGTTCCCAGTATAAATTAAACAAGGTGTGCAGCAGGCCTGCCACCACTTCCTCTCCAGCCCTTAGCATTTCGAGTGAAACTCTATCATATCCGGCAGCCTTACCTGCTTTCATGCTTTTCATTGCTTTCATTATTTCATCTATACTTATCTCGCTACCTCTTTCCTCTTCTTTCGGTGTTTCTACTTCACTTAGTACACACGTTGTCTCCTCACTCATAAACACGCTTTCAAAATATTCCTTCCATCTCTTTAAACTGAAAACTTCATCATTCAGTATATAGCCATTCTCGTCTCTTATAGCATTCATCATAGGCTGTTTTGAATGTCCCCTGGCAGTTCTTACAAGTTTCCAGAACATTTTAATATTTGCCTGGAAGTTATCCGATATTCTTCTGTCATTCTTATCCGTTATTTCTTGCTTTTTCCTTTTATTATTTTAAAATTTATAAACATGATATGTTAAGAACCTTTTGATGCTGCTCTCTACAGTTAGCCAATTATCTTTCAAGGCCAATAAATCTGTTGTCATCTCCTATAGAACTTTCGATACATGTTATAAAATTGTGGCCATTTCGTCCTGTTTATCGTATGAATTGAGCTACGCAGCCAACTGCTACCAATTTGGAAGAAGCCTTAGGAATTCGATCAAGTGATAATAATGATGATGATATTCGTAAAGTAATGATGCATAAAAATACTATATCATAAAATATTACACTCATTTTTTCTCCGACAGTGATATACTTGATCATTAATAATTTAATAATGATTGACCGACAAAGCCCGAAGAGTAAAAATAAATAAAACCTTTAAATATGGTTTAGTATTTATTTCATTTATTAACATCTTATGTAAATAATTTTTATTTTAGAAAGCAGCTTCCAACGAAACCCCTGCAGTCTCTGTTTCGTATATCATTTACGTACTGCCCGTTCGCCGGAGCGATAGCGGTACTTATTATTGGAGTGCCCATGAGCTATCTCACAGGAAAGTCTAAAACTGACTCCATGAACCCCGATGTATTCTGCCCACTCACGCAGAGTTTCCTACATAAATCAATACAGAAGAGCGCTTCGGTGTCAATGGAACATAGAGCACCTAACACTCAAGAAGTTTACATGGCGTTGGACGAAGCTCTGAAACATTTAAAAGAAGTTATAGAAAGATAATAATTAAAAATATTGTTTTATTTTTTATTCATGGTTAGAGATAAACAACGTAATTGACATTGCTTAACAAAATTATTAATTAAAAAGTCGGTAATAAAAACTCGCTAGTCTTTTTCAAGACACCTCAATAATAAAGAATAATCCTTAAAAAATATTACTATGATGCCTAACATTGTGTTCTTTCTTAAATAAATGTTCTGTTGTAGTTAACCAGGTCTGATGGTGTACAAAATTATCCATAAGGTTGAAATCGGCTAGGATAGTGAAAAAATAATATGTAACTGCAAAGGAGTGTCGCGAAAGGATTCTAAAGTGATAATTTTTCCTTGAATATTATTTTTTGTGACTTTTTCCCATTGTAGTGAAGTTCTAGAAACGAAGTCAATTAAGGCTTTCACTAGACTTTTTTCCGCTCGCAAGAAAATAAATGTTCTCTAGATTTTCGTCGTTGTTGCCTCAAATTGGTTGGTTATTAGAAAATATTATGTTCTTAATTGCTTTTATTAACATTAAAGTAGTTTGGTGATCGCAGTGCCAGACGTGTCTTGCCTTTCCCGTGTTGATATGTGATGAGAAAATATTTATACAATTCTAATTAAATAATGCGTATCCCATTTTTTTATAGGACAGGGTGACAAACGAGCACACAGTCCACCTGATGGTAAGTGGTTGCTGTGGCCTATAGACATCTACATCTATCCTCGATTACGAATCAAAATGCAGATGCGTTTTCACCCGTAAGTACTAAGATGGAATGCCTCGTTTCCAGTAAAAGGGATCTCCGATTCTCTACACTCACCATACAAAACACAGTAGCGTTAAGCTACTATCTTACGCTGGTATTCTGTGAGAGCGTGGTCCTTCCCCGGTCGAGCCGACCCATTCGTGCTGCAACTATAGGCTAATATAACTGCAGCATGGCTCTACAACGTTTAATATTACGCTGATAATATTTATAGATCAAATTTTTTATAGCAACGGGATTTCATGGATAACATGTAATTATTGGAACAATTTTTTTAATAACATTTTTTCTTCGTAATTTAAATAATCATTTCTCAAATAAACATCATTTTGGATTTAAAGCAGCATCATGATATTGACATTTTGTTAATGTAGTGTGATTATTATGTTATATTTCTATTTATTGATGAGAAAACTAATTTATTTAGATAATATATTTAGTATATTTGATTTCCAATCAAAAAGTTTAATTCATTTTTAATATCCCAACCCCCCCCCTCCTCATAATTATTTTATTATTAATTATATCAATTTTATTCATTATTATTTCTATTATTATAATAATATTATCTATAATTTTATCAAAAAAACCTAAATAGATCGAGAAAAATGTTCTCCATTTGAATGTGGATTTGATCCAAAATCCTCAGCACGAATAACCATAACTACAGCACGAATACCATGCCCATAACTGCAAACCTCAAATATGAAGCAAATACCTAGTTAATTATTGATGTTTCAACGAGTCTACTTTGAAGTACAAGTACTCCTTTGCAATGCAAATTCAAATTGCGAAGCCAGGTTATGTCCGGGAGACGATATTATTCAAAGAGGACTTAATCGATGAAATGGAGCTTAAGGAATGTATTTTAATTCACGGTTCACTGTTTACGACAGATTTTGTTATTCTTTAATTAAATTTATACGATATAACCTATTCGCCATTAAGTATAAGTATATTTACTTTATTTTTATTAACTTTTGATCAAAGTTTCATCTTTTAGTAGTAGGTAAACTCTTACTACCTCTTTTTTACAACTTAATCTTTTTGCTATAATAATAAAAATTGTTTTTAGATAATTTTATTATTAAAAATAAAGAATCCAACCGCTTTTCTAGAAGTAAAGTTAAGATTACAAGAATGCTCGAGTAATCGCCACATTGTGTTTTTGCTAAATTCATATTGGTAGAACTCAGATAGTACTTTGATACTCCAGATTAAGGTAAATCTTTGACACTTCGTACGTCACCGTTTTTCTAATGTTTCCTCTGGTTGTCTCTTACTTAACCCAAGAGTGAAAAGCAAAATTAGTTTATAATTTCAAAGAAAATATGGTTTTACTACTAAAGAACACATGTTATTTTAAGAATAAATTAAGCCACATCCTAAAGTTTGGCTGCTATAAGGAGACGGTTTCTAAAATTAGACAAATACTAAGGAAACGTCTTATTTATCGTATTATTTCTTACGCCACCACCATCAATGCCATGTTATTTTTATAGGAGAAGAGGCCACTTACGAGCATGTGGCCGAACTGATGGCGTATAACTAACGCTGCCCATGAACAACTACAACACCAGGGGCATTGCAGATGCGTTGGTGGCCTTTTAGGTTTGTGCTCTTTTCTTGAAGGTCCCTAACTCTTATCGGTCCGGAAAAATCGCGGGTGGTAGTCGATTCCACAAGGAAGTTGTGCGAGGAAGAAAACTTCGTCTAAATCGCACAGTGATGAACCGCCAATCATCCAGATGGTACGGATGGTATTACGAGTTTTGTCGCGATGTGCAGTGGTGTAATTGAGCGGCTGGAATTAGTCCGAACAATTGCTCAGAGCACTCCCCGTGGTAAGTGCGATAAAATACCTAAAGAGATGCAACATCTCTCCGCAGTGCTAGTGAGTCAAGCTAATCAGGAACAAAATCGATCGCCGACGACTCGAACTGCTCTACGCTGGATGCGATCAAATGAAAGGAACTGGCACTGAAGAGCCACAGCCCAAAGATGAGAATAGTATTTCACGTGAGGCCAAAGCTGCGCTTTGTAAAGTTGCAGGCTATACCGGCATTAAAAATATTGTCCCACTCTGCTACGTACGCTAAGCTTTTTAGAGGCGAATTTGGTTCTCTTACAAGTGACCACGAAACTGCACGCTATTTGATATGTCGACGCCGAGGATTCCGGTACTGGCTGAGGCACCGAGGGGAGTGCCCTGAAACTGAGGTGACATACGAGGAAGGGGTTTTTTAACGGTAAACGCGCAAACTTGTGTCTTCCGGGGATTGAACTGACTCAGTAGCACTCCTGCTTATAGCGTGATGCAATTTTACAGGAGTGACTGAACCATGGCTGAGTTATGCCTTCGATAGGCATCACAGATAATGAAATAAATAATTCCATTCCCTGAAGTACCACATCAGCGCCAAAATCAGAAACAATGTTGGGATCATTAGGCGAGAAGAAAACTCGCCCCAAGGGTAGGATTTAAAAAAAGGCCGCATCCTGTCCCGAATTGACCGACGTATAGTGCCAAATACGGTGACAATCTGCAGAATGCAACTGCGATGGGAACGTGGGTGCCAGCGTACTCCGGATGAGACAATGATCTAAACAGACAAGAGGGACATCAACGGAGACCTAATATCAGTCCCAATGAGTGGTCCAACAGGGAGTGTAGATGATCCTCTACATCTGGGATCCGCGTAGGCCAAGTAACCGGTTGTATCAGACCATATGCCAAGGAAAAGTCATAAATAGATCTATCCGCATACCACATGAGCTGGTCCGTGTCGGCATTACCGCTATGGGACCTATAGAGGGTACGGTAGACGCGGGGATGATCGTCGCTATTTACGCGCAGCCGTAGGATGGACGGGTCTGTACCTTCAAGACTACTTCAGCCCGGGGCACAAAGGAGTGTTCTAATTTGTACCCCAGGTAGGAGAGATAAGAAGTATCAGATGGAGATTACACCCGTGTCTCGGTTAAAAAAGCTGTGAAAAGAGTGTTGCAGAAATTCACGGATAGTGTGGTAGAGGTCCGTTGGCTCTGAGCAGTTTTATCTTGAGAGGAATTTCGCCCCCCCCCCCCCTCCCAGAATACGCTTGGTAGCCGGAGCTCCCACGCCCAGGAAGAGTGGTCGTGGAAGCACAGCAAATAATTCTTCGTCACCAGGAGTGCCGGTACTGGGATAGTGTTATCTTTAACTCTACTACATTGTTTGGGGGAGGGAATTGGGCAAAACATTTCATTACCTTATTTCTTTATTTATTCTATTGCTAGATGAAATTTTAAATTACCATTGGTATACGTTACCAGTTTCTAACAAAAGCTAAATGCTATCAAATTCAAACGCAGTAGTATATAAAACTGTTGATGCGAAAACGCTGTAATGTACACCTTTATGTTCAAATGGAGCATATCTCCTTAATTTCAATGTTCTAAACCAAGGTATATCTATAACTCAAAAAGAATAGAACGCAACACATCTTACGAGGATAATCGACGCCAGCGTAAGGCAATAACTTGAAAATAATAAAAATGATAATCTTGCTTTAAACTCAAACACATTGGTTTATTGTGTAAGTATAAGAAGAAAGCACAGCTAGCCTCAATGCGCACTAAAAGTTCTTTTAATTTATAGTTTTTTTAAGATGATATTGATACCAGAAATTTCTATTGTCGTAAAGGACAAAACACGAGATTCAAGTAGAGCCAAAAAACAAAAAATAAAATTGTTTTAGTCCAATAACTATTTCAAACAAAGTAATATATTTATGATTTCAAAAGATACCCCAACTAGTTTTTCGTGTTCTATCCCCATAAAGTAACAAAATTAACCAAACTTAATTATAGACGTAAATGAGAGTCCTTTACAGCCCACAGAAATTGAACTGAAGTACTTTACGGCCTCGAAAAATTAGAAAAATTTAAAATTTATCTAAATATACTAAACTATTAACTAATATGAAATATATAAATAATAAAAAAGCAAATTAGACTTTTCATTCCTTGAATCGAGCCCGGACATTTTCGAGTGCAAACTGCAAATCCAAATCTCTATCATTTGGTTTGGATTGAAATAACTTTCCTGTTGATATATAGAACTTTCTTTCGCCGGTAAAAAAAATTTACATTTGAAACTTTTATTTATTTCTAAAAGTTTTTAATTAATTTATCTAAATATACTAAACTACTAACTAATACCAAATATATAAAAAAGAAAATAGAAAATTTGACTTCACATTCCTATAACCGA